GAGCACGCGTTTCCCGCAACCCGATCCCCTCAGACAGGATTCTTCCGCCGCAGCCCAACGGGGAGGTAACGACCACCAGGACCCGGGCCTGGGAGGGGAGCCCCGTGACATTGTGGAGTGCGCCGAGAGAGGGCGGCGCGGGGAGAAACCGGCTTTTCTGGAAAATGGATTCCGAGGGGGAGAAGAGCACGTTGAGTGGGGCTGCTTAGGAGCAGGCCGCGGTTCGCGCCGCCGCTCCCCGCTCGCCTCCATGTGCGGCTGCGGTTCGGGCTTTGTCTGCGGTGCTCCGTGGCCCGCGCGGACCGCGGGCGGCGGCTGAGTTGGTGCTGTCGTGGCCGTCACCGCGGCGTGGGAGTGGGCGGAGAGGACGGCTGCCGTCCCGCAGCCGCGCGGCAGGCTCGGGCGGTGCTCACGGGCGCAGGGCAACGCGGGCGCTGAGAGGCTCTCGGTTTCCCGGGTGGGAGGCGGCCGGCACGGGCGCCGGATCCTCTGTCCCACCGCCGCGGGGTGGGGGCTTTTCGGTCACGTCTTGGCAGGACGGAGCGGCGGCCGTGTGGCCGGCGCCCTGGTAGCGCCTGGGGCGAAGCGAGCCATGTGTCACGGCGGGGACCGGGGGGCGGGGAGCGTGTGGCCTGGCGCCGCCGCGGCCTCGGTGTTGAGGGGCAGAATGGTGCTGCCGCTGCTTTGGGGGGCTGCGAGCGTGGCTTCGGGCTGCCGTGGGGAGCCGGTGAAGGTCCTGTTGGCCGCGGACTCGGTGTCGTTGGAGGAAGTTGTAGGACATATGAAGGCGCCGAGCACGTGTTTGTCCTGGGCTCCTGGCGGCCACCGCGGAGAGGCTGCCGCTCTGGGTGCGGAGTCGGGGGCGGGCTGTGGGGTGCGGGGGTGAAGGGTGGAGAGAGTGGGTGGTGGGAAGGTGGCTTGTGTGAGCGCTTTGTTCTTCGCTGTGGTTGCTGATCGGTAAGCGGCAGGCGGGAAAAGCGCGCACTTTGGGGTTTACCTTTCCGGGAGACAAGCCCAGCTTTGCTTTCTCCACACGCCTCGTGCTCTGTTGCCGGCACGGCTACTTGGGGAGCTGGCTTGGCCTTTGGGCTCCATTTGTAATGCTCTTGGTAGACAGTGTTAGCAGGTGAGCCAGGGGTGGTGCGGCGGAAATTCAGCGTGAAGGGGTCCTGCAGTGGCCCAAGTTCCAGGCTGGCTGTCAGGCGCTAGTGACTTTACAGTATGGCCTCTTGGTCGGGAGGCGCTGGCTGGCTGTGTGGCCGATGGTAGGGAAAGTAAAGATTGGGGCTCCCATATTCTGTTATTTTTGAAGATTGTAGTTTAATTTTGCTTATTGCGTTTGAACAGATCTCTGGAAACATGGCTACAGAACATGTTAATGGAAATGGTACTGAAGAGCCTATGGATACTACTTCTGCAGTTATGCATTCAGAAAATTTTCAGACATTGCTTGATGCTGGTTTACCACAGAAAGTTGCTGAAAAACTAGATGAAATTTACGTTGCAGGTAAGAACTAACACTTGCAAAATTGCATTATGAAATTTTTCTATTGGATTTCTGGCCTTGAGCTAAAATAGCAACTTTTTGTGGTTTCCAATAAGTGTGGGAACTGGAGTTTTGACTTGTGGTAGTGGCTTAATTCAGCTTTGAAGTACAGGTTAAGGTGTATAGAGGGAGGGGTGAAGGGAGGGAGTAAAGCTAAAAGCTGATTGGTAGGATGAATAAGTGTTAGCCAGTAGCAACAGTTGCTAAATGTTGGGAGCCGGCTATGTGACTTACTGTGTGACTTACGTTGGCATTTTTTTTTAGTAGGATTCTTGTTAAATAGCTTGGTCACTGTAGGTTGGTGCCCTGTCTTTCTTGGTGTGGCTATGATTTTTGTTTGTGGTATTTGGAGTAGAGGTTCTGTTGTCTTACTGGTATTTCGTTGGTTGATCTTTAGGATTTGTATGCCTGTGTATTTGCTGTAGAAATAGTGTTCAGAACTACCTGACTTAGACACAAAGAAAGATATAAATGAAGTTGATTCATTGCAAATGTGGTTGAGCCCTGTTAAAAATGGGTAAAGTATGTGTGTCTTTCATTGGGGCAGTGGTGTGCATAATTCTTAGTTGGCACACATAAACCTGTATTGGCCAGCATCATCTTTTAATAAAGATTTCTCCCAAAAGATAATAAAACTTGACAATTAATAAAGTTTTCTCTTCTCCAGGGCTAGTTGCACATAGTGATTTAGATGAAAGAGCTATCGAAGCTTTAAAAGAATTCAATGAAGACGGTGCGTTGGCAGTTCTCCAACAGTTTAAAGACAGCGATCTCTCTCATGTTCAGGTAATTTTCTAAAAATTTGAAGACTTACAAATGCTGGATTTTCACGCAATCATTTGTAGATACTTTGTTTTACAACATTGGCATTGATGTAATTAATTATGGTGTCTCAGGAAACCCATATTGTGTACAGGTGTTCCCTTTATTCAGTTTCATGATCAGGTAATATTTAATAGGAGGATTAAAAGAATTAAAAAATTAATTAGATTTGGTGTACTTTGATAAATTTTTGCTTTGCGTTAGATAAAGTTATGGAAGTTGTCATTCAGTGTGATTGGAAAATTTCTTTACAGAACAAAAGTGCCTTTTTATGTGGAGTCATGAAGACTTACAGGCAGAGAGAAAAACAGGGGACCAAAGTAGCAGATTCTAGCAAAGGACCAGATGAGGCAAAAATCAAGGTAAGCCTTTGAAAATTTCCTCCTCCCACCCTCTTTTTGATTTAGAATTTTTAAAAACTATTTTTAGCTTTGATACATAGTTGTAATTTTAAAGTTTTTTTTCCTTTTAAAATTGTCATTTTGACAATCCTCCAATGTGACCTGAGTGTGTTTTTAAGATGTTGAGATAGAAGTAATTGAAAAAATATTTCAAAAGTTCTCAGCTTTTATTTTTAAAACTGCTCCTTGTTCATTTTTTTTGCTACTGATGTTTTAAATTTGTGCTATTGATGTTGCAAAGAAAAGTTCTGAAATATATCTATCATTGCTAGACACTGTTTGAAAAGCAACAAGTCAAGGTTACTCACAGTGGAATTATTAAAGTGAGAGGAAATCAGTTATTAGTAATTGGTTCTTCTGTTAGTATTGTTCTAATTTAAATGGCTTTAGAGTTTTAATATTTTTTCTGTTTTATTAGTATGGACTATTTTATTTCTAACTAACAATGAAATTATTTGGTCTGCAAATGTAAGGGAGAAAACAGGAAGTAAAGGAGGAGGTTTTTTTTAAAAAAAACATTTAAATTCATCTTGATTTTGATCTTTGTGTAGGTAAGATTTTGTTGTTGTGTACCATCAAGTACACAACTGGAGGTTTAACTAAACCTCCACTGAGTTTTCAGAGGCAATAAATCGCATGGGAGGAGACCGCCCATTTTACTCCTGCAGAGAGGCTGGTGGATTTGAATCATGTATTTTAGTATCTGTAACACAATTCTTTACTGCTAGGTCGTGACAGTTCCTGTGGAAAAGTTTTAGTTCATAGGAAATACTGTGATCATTTTAGCTGATGTTCTTGGTAAAACATGTCTGTGCTTTTGAAATAAGGATTTATTTAAGAAAATCCATTGTTAGTCGAGCATGTTAATTGTAACGAAGAGAGACCTGGAATGTGGGCAAGATTGAAATGAAATGTTACAATATGAGACTTTAAGCAATCTAAGTATGAGTGAAATGAGTTTGAAATATAAATCTAATTTTTACCTGAAAATGGATAGCAAGTTTCATTTGTAATTGATGTTTTAATTAAAGGCACATTTGGGAGTTTGAATTTATTAAAATTTTAAAGTTTTGTCACTGTTAACTTTATAGCACTCCTTTTTTAGCCTGTCAGAGATTGGCTTAAACCTGTAATAAGGGGGAAAAGGCTAGGACTCAAATTGTGACAAATTATATAGACATTTTTATAAAATGTCCCAGAGAGAAGAAATGATTTTTCTCTTTGCTTTTAGAGATTGAAATACTTGAGAAATACTGAATCATTGAAAAGTTAGCCGTAACTCTTTTATTATAACAAAGGAATTAGATCTTGGAAACTGGAAGATACAGTCTAGTGGTTTACTTTATATGGCATGTCATAGACTTGCATTTGAGTGTTGTTACTAACTAGATGCTGCACTCAAAAGCAATTGATTTTTGTCTGTTACCAAAATAGAGACCATAAGTATATAGCTTGAAGATAAAAAGTTGAAAGTATGACCAGTTTTTAGGAATTACTCTATTTTCCCCCCATAAATAATGCCTGATTTTTCTCTTTCAGTGCATTTGGTACTTTTGAATTATTTATTTTTTGCCAATCCAACATGTTTTTCTTTCCCCATCAGTAGAAAAAGTTGTAATCTGGCTAATTATTTTCATTTTTAGATTGCGGTCACCCCAAATTATTTAACTCTTTTGATAAGTTTTTGCCATATGACTGGAGTACTGTTTTTATTTCAGAATATATCCGCTAGCTATGGAATTGGCATTTACTAATTGCCATTAAATAGATTCAGACTCATGGTGAACCTCATGTGTTTAGAGGGTAGAATTGTGATTTTTGTAGATGTGTTTTTTTACTTTAGCCTTAAAAGAAATGGATTGTCAAACTGTAATACCATCAAACTCATAAACCAGCTAAATTCTGACTAACTCAACCTTCCCTCTGCGGGGCTTTAAGTCATAATGAGAGCAGAATTCAAATGGTGAATTCAAACTGCTGATTTTTTTTTTTGTTGTTGTTGTTGTTAGCACAAAACTCACTATATCTCTTGGCTCCTCTGCTTTTTATGGCTAATTTGCCTACTACTTTTTTTAGTACCTACCTTTGCCTTTAATACATGAGAATGGTCATTATGTAGAGTAATATGAGTTGTTCAGATCTAACAAGTTAACCTTTTTGCAGTGAAAATGTGGAAGGTACATCATATTGTTGAAATTGTTTTCAGATTCCACTTTGGGTCTGAATAATTTATTTTTGAGTATCAAATTAATAAGTTTGGTCTGATCGTCTCCTCCCTTTCCTGTAGCTCCCAAGTTTCTCATTTTCTTAATCTAAACTCCATTGCCATCAAGTCAATTTTAGCTCACAATGAACTCTCCCTTGGGTCTCATAGGTGTAGTAATGGGAAGAAACAGCTGTACTTTTTTCCTGTGGAGAATCTGGTGGATTTGAACTAGCCACCTAACCTGTAAATGAGCTATGCCATTATGGATTTTCGGACTTGATTTAGGAGGTGTTCTTTATTTGAAGATTGATGAAATACCCTGAATGGAGAGAGAGATTTCTAGGGATGGCAGTGTTGAGTATATGTTAGATAAGAAATCCAGTCTTTAGAGAGGGAACCTACTTAGGTTTTTTTTTTTTTTTTTGTCAGGACCTATATTCTCAAACGAGGGACACAGCCTAATAAGGTAGCAGATGTTTTTTAGTAGACATACTCTTTTCTTTAAGGTCTTGGCTAACATTTTTCAGTAACTAATTGAAGACTAAAAAATAATTTGAATGGGGTTTTGACTACAAAATGGTGGGACTTTATAACAAGGGAATGTTAAAGGGGAAATTTTAATATGAACACTAGAAATCAAATTGGAAGGAATGCTGTGAAGATAATTGGAAAGACTTGATAAGTGATTTGAACTAAATGCAGGAATGTAGTTTCTGAGTTAAATATATCAAATGAATTTTAATTTTTCAAGGCACTCCTGGAAAGAACAGGATATACACTTGATGTGACCACTGGACAGAGGAAGTATGGAGGACCGCCTCCAGATTCCGTTTATTCAGGTCAGCAGCCTTCTGTTGGCACTGAGGTAAAGAAACTAAACTTTGTATCTTTTGTAGTAAATGCTCAGATACCTGGTTACCTAAAGAAATTCTCCATGGTTTTTATTTTCATATTTTGATTCACAGATATTTGTGGGGAAGATCCCAAGAGATCTATTTGAAGATGAACTTGTACCATTATTTGAGAAAGCCGGACCTATATGGGATCTTCGTTTAATGATGGATCCTCTTACTGGTCTCAATAGAGGTTACGCTTTTGTCACTTTTTGTACAAAAGAAGCAGCTCAGGAGGCTGTTAAATTGGTGAGTTCTTCACCGGTTATATTAATTATATTTATTGTTTGTTAGACTTCCTCCTACCTTACTGTGTACAAAGTTTAAATTATTGGCCAATGATTTAAACATTTCTCTGCATGTATTGTATTGCTTATAGAGTTGAAGATCAATAAGGGAGTTGCAGAAAACCTAGTAAATTGGTTGCTTTCTTTTTTTCAATTTTTATTTTTTAATTTCTAGGGATGGATAAATAGATGGACAAAATTATGACTGTGTAGGTTTGTTGACATACCTAGGTCCTTTTAAAAAACACATCCTACAAAGATAATCCAATATGTATTTTTGGTTAATAAATAATTTTTTTAGTGAGACACAGGTTTTTATTCCTCATTTTGTTTAAAAGTGACTTAAATATTTGAAGTATAGTTTATTTAGTGCTTACTAGTTTTATTAAACTTCGTGACTTGTGGTTTCTGTACTTGGTGGAAGTCAAGGGTAAGTTTTAACCTGTGAACTGTGAACTGCACCAACAATATAACTGGGAAGGAAACTTTTTGGATAATAAACTTTAAATTATGTTAATGCTGAATTTGCCTTATCTGGTTTACCATAATCTATGGCTAGAACAGTACATGTAAAATCCCAAGATTAATTTCTTTTACTGAAGGTTTTCCTTCTGTTTTGCCTGCATCAAGTAATACCATTTGCTTAAAGAGAAACCATGGGCATACTTTGTTTTGCATGAATGTTTCTGCTGATGTGTGGAATAGAATATGGTGAAAGTTTATGGAAAACTGCTACTTAAAAGTATGTAAATGTCTTTTAAGACTATTTAGAAGTTCTGGGTTTTGCTTTTTTAACAAAATCATAACTGTTTGCTTGCTTAAAGGATGCTGCTTATTTCAAAGTGGATATAGCTCTCTGTACAAAGCCATTCACTGGTAACATTTGAGGTGGGCCAAACTTACATTAAGCATTTCTGATAGAAACTTAAGAACAGAGCTTGAGAAAGAGGTACTTGGAAACCACCTAGTTTAATCTTCTATGAAAGAATAGGATATTTTTGCTTAGAGTAGCAATTTGGTAGTATTGCAAAAATGCAAAAGATCTGGAAGAGGCTAAACTGTTTTAACTTTATAGCTAGTGGTGCCAGACTTCTTTATTAGGTGTTACATAAAATTATAAATTTGTTTAATGATAAATGGTTCCTTAGTTTATAAGTCGTGTTACTCAGTTGACATTTTAAAATTTGGTATCAATACATTATTTACAGTAGGTTCTCAGTGGATCTTGATAGATACTCTAGCTCTAATAAATTTTTGAGTGTGAAATGTGTTTCAATTTGAGCAATTACCTTGGTTTACCAAATACTTTACAATTCAAAACTGGCTGCTTAGTTATAATCTTAGTAATACTAGTTTTTAATCTTAAAAAGCAGACACTATAGATAACCAACTTTTTAAAGATTTTAGAATATACATTGTTTTCTGTTTTTTGTTTTGATTTAACTCTTTATCTGGGGACATTGGGCATTTTTTTTTTATTTACCTTTTTTCCAACCCATCCCTCCCTTTACTCATAGTTGTGTTTTTTTTTTTTACTTTATGATAAGTAGCTTTTCCTTTTTAAATAATAATCTTAGTGGTAGAGATAGACATCCATTAGGATGATTTATTGAAGTAGCACCATTGTTTCTAAAGAATGCTTTAGTTTGGAATTAGTTGGAGCAACTCTAGCAACTGGTGATCTGTTACTTTGGCTAGATTATGGTAAAAATGTAATTGGGAAATTAATGTTTAAAATTGTTGAAGTAGATTTTTTGATGAACTGAGGCAATTGAAACATTTTAGAGAAAATACAGAAGTCAAGTTGATGGGGATTTTTTGCTTTGCTACTTCGTATTTATGGCATCCAGTAGCCTTAATGTATAGAGTATTCCTCAAGGGAGTACATTGAGGCATAATTTAGTAAATAATCCAACTTGTATTGTATCTTGAGATTCTGCTTAAGTAAGTTTAATCCTAAGGTGAATTTTTATGTAAGATAATTAAAGGCTCACATTTTACTATATAAAGCCAAATTCTGCCTTTTCCTTAAAGACAGAGAAAACTCAAGCACTTTCTGCTTTTCAGTACTTTGTTTTGAGGAAAACGTTAAATGCTGATAGTTTATTGATTTCCTCCCCCTCCCCCCCATTCTATATTAATGAAATAGGTAGTCCTATCCCACCTCACGACTAGGGTCTCTATGAGTTGTGTACGACTTGACGGCACCAAACAACAACATCCCACCTTACAATAAAAATCTAACCCAGGTAGGCCCTCCCATCCTTTGCCCTTGTTGCGCAAGTGCTCCAGGATTCCCTGTCCCCTGATCATTTTGGAGTGTGTCCATTGGGTAGCCATGTGGAAACAATTTCAGACTTTTGTGGAAAAAAATGGAAGGAGTCTATGCAACCCTCAAGAGAGTTTTATTTGAGGGGTTTTGTCACTTGTTCGTAGGCCAGTTCAGTCTCTCCATCATCTGGAGAAGTGGAGGCGAATTCTTCCCAAGCATATGCGTTTTGCAAGTAACTTTACACACCCTTAAAGTTGTTCTGGGATGGAGAAACCCCCGTACTACTTACATGCAACCTGAACAGTGTGGCGTTTGCTGGCAACAAGTTGCATTCAGTTAGGGTGAGCTTATGACCATCCAGAAATTTCCTCTTGAGAGATGCCTTCATCCTCAGCACTGGTCTCATCCACTTCTTAGAAAAAGGATTTCCATTAACTGTCCAAAACCTTTAGAGCTTTTGGGAGCCCCTTCACTGTCTTTCAGTGCTGGGTTTGAGTTCTTGATGTAGGCAGAAAATTTGGCAGATATGTCCAGACCAGGTATTGGATTCAGGGTTCAGAGCTGCCGGATTGAGGTACCTAGGAGGGCCCAGCACAGCCTCCATGAATTCCTCTTATCTCAGTGGTGTCTGTGTGCATGTTTGTGCCATATAGGAATGGGGGCTGCCCTTCGTGGGTACATCTTCTGCATAGTCTCTCCACTTGTTGGTGTCATCGGTCGTTACATTGAAAATGATTCCTTTGAGACATACCACCATGAACAGTCTCTAGAGAGGGGGCATTTCCTACTCTTGGCTGCATCATTTCCAGACTTCATGTACAATTTGATTTCTGGTGGTTCTTCAGCCTTGGTTGAGATAGGGACCAGAAAGTGGTCTCCTTTCTGTGATTTATTTGTTTTCTGCACTGAAAATTATAATAGATTTAAAATTTCCATTTGAATTCAATTGATCAGCTGGGTAAGAGACAACTGCAAATTTGCCATTGTGATCACATTTTCAACTAGAATTTGCCTTGCATTTTGGAAAAATTAAAATAACACCATTGGAATGATTACAGTCTAGCTGGAGAAGCAAGATCTGAATTTTGGGAAAAGGTAGCTACTATTTGGCTTAAGGGACAAGAGTGTGCTAGGTGTACTGCATTATTTTTAAACTGCTTCAATCTTCAAGTTCAGTAAAACTATCTTTATTCTGCAGATGAGTCAAAAAGATTTTATTACTTGGCAAAAGGCGATACATCTTAATTTAATGTTGTTTGTTTGACCTTAATAACTTTAACTCTCGAACCAAACCAGTTCAGTTGCTAATGAGTCAGTTCTGACTTAATGTTAGAGTGGAAAAGTAGGGTTTTCAGTGGCTGTGAGCTTTTGGAAGTAGAAATCGCCTCTAGGGTGGATTCAAACCACCAGCCTTTCGATTAGTAGGTGAGTGTTTATGACTCTTTGTACCTCTCAGGGACCTAATTTAAGCCAGCAATGTGAGGTAGATTGTTCAGAGGCAATAAATCACAGGAGGAGAGTGCCCATCTTTTTTCTGAGGAACAGCTGATTCGAGCTTTGTACATAAATATCAGTGTGGGGTTTTTGGTTTTTGTTTGTTTGTGTTTTTTTTTTCCCCTCGTTAACATAGTTTAGGGATTGTTAAGGAGCTCAGAAGTAAGTCATTCCTGTCTCTACTACCATAATATTTTTTACCTCGGACCACTTCCCCATATTGCCTTTCTTTAGCTTAGTCATTAATCTCTTGCTAGATGACTAGTCTTCTGTCATTCTTTATGATCTTCCTTTCAACAGCTTAGATTAGATCACTATTTCCCATGCTGAAAACGAATAGTCTCCAAAGGAGTTTTATCTAGCCAGTCTCCTGTTTAATGTGCTAGAATCTTTCTCCTTAATCACTCTTACTCTTTATTTTCCTTCTGTCCTTTGCTCTTTTTCTATTTTAAGGGTAGTAATCTCCAGGTAAGAATGTCCATTCCATCTCCTGGGTTTTTGGTTTTTTTTTTTGCTATTCATCTTTTGACTGCTTTGGTTAGTTAAGCCTTATTATAGTTATATTTTCTTAGAAGACTTTTTGTGATTCTGAAATTGTTTGAAATGGTTTCTTATTTTAATGTTGGCTCTCTCAACAAATCAGAAAATACTTACAGTGACCGAAAAGTAAGGCAGTGAAAATATCTATTTGTGTAGTCTGCTGTTTGGAACTTGAGCCTAGGGCCTAAATGTCCATGGTAGTTATTGTATACCATGAAGTCAGAACTGACCTGCAGTTGACCCTCCAGTGATTTTCAGAGGCAGCAAATCACACAGGAGATTGCCATCTTCAGTGGCCCAGCTGGTGGATTTTAACCACATAACCTTTCTGTTGACAGTGCAGATCCACCAGAGCTCCCCAATGTCAATAGTCATGTTATCATGGAAAGGTCCTGTTAAAATGATAATCACATTTGTTACAGTCATTTGAATATGCTATATGCATTTTAATAGTCACTGATAAAAAGTGTGTACATAAGCATAAAGTGTACAAACCATTTTGATGAATACAACTGACAGCATAGATTTGTAAAACACTTCTTTGGCCACCTAGCAAATAAGTTTTAATATGAACACCTTGTCTATGGTAGAGAGGCCCTAAGTCAGTTAATCCAGTTATTTAACTTAGAGTGTTTGTAGGACATGATGATAACGTAACCTACAATTGAAATGTTGGCAGGTGTTTCAAAGGGTGGTGGTGGTTATGTGCCATTGAGTTGCCTGTGACTCATAGTGATCCTGTGTACAACAGCCCTAAACCCTGCTCTATCCCGTGCCTATCTCACTGTCTCTGACATACCTACCTCCATTATGCCAGTCACTGAATTAATCCATCTCATCAAGGATCTTCCTTTCCTGCGCTGTCCCTCCAATCTCCCAAGCATGGTCCCTCCTTGCAACATGTCCAGAGTATGTCAGACTTAAGTTTTCAGAACCCTTGCCTCCAAGGAGCAGCCTGGCTTCACCCTCTCCAGGATGAACTCACTTGTTCTTTTAGTCGATGGTATATTCAGTACTCTTCTCCAACACGACAGCTCCAAGGAATCATTCTCCTATCATTCCTAGTTATTGTACAACTGTCTGATGCATAGCAAGTGATTGCAAAGACCAAGGCCTGTATCACGTGCACCTTAGTCTCCAGCCTGATGTTGTTACTCTTCAGAACTCTTGAAAGGTCCCTCACAGCTGACTTTCCCAATGGATTTCATCTCCTAATTTCCTGGATGCTGTTACCAAGAGTGTTGACTGTGGAGCCAAGTAAACTAAAACTGTTAACTATCTCAATCTCTTCACCATCCATCCTGATGCTGCCAATTGGCCCACTGGTGAGAATCTTTGTTTTTTTCATGTTGAGCTTCAATCCATATTGAAGGCTGCAGTCCTTGACCTTCTGCAGCAAGCGCTTCATGTCCACCTCAGTTTCAGCAAGCTGGGTTGTGTCATCTGCAAAAGGCAGATTGTTGATGAGTCTTTCTCCACTCCTGATGCCACATTTCTCATAGAGCCCAGCTTCCCAGATAATCTGTTCTGCATATAGATTGAAAAAGGTTTGGAGATAGCGCACATTCCTGGCGTACACCCTTCCCAATTTTGAACCATGCAGTGTTTCCTTTCCTTGTTCTGATGACTGCTACCTGCTCCAAGTATAGATTTTGTGTAAGCACGATCAAGTGGGATTCTCATTTGTTTTTCAGAGGGGAGATCTTCCTGGGTTTGATTTGTTAGGGTGCGTTGCAGTAAAGAGGTATGAGAGATACAGTGAAGGGAATAAGTAAATCAAGTTGAAGCAGTGTTAGGGAAGGGAAGTATGAGATTAAAAATGAGATGTAATCAAGGTTGTAGGTTGCTGGGCTGAGCTGTAAGGTGCCATTAAAAGTTGGAACCTTCTTCTTGGTTCCACGGTATGAATGGCAGAATAAGGAATTCTTAAAGAAGAAAAATGCCAAGAGATGTCAACAATAAGATGTAGAGACATTGAAGATATTAAAGAGATTAAATGATAGGCAGGCTACTTACTCTATCAGTTTTAAATGACTTCTGTTGTTCTTCTCTTGAAGTGTTTGTTGACTGGAAGATGCATGCAGTAATTGTCTTAAAAATGAAAATAAAAGAATCTGGAAGAATGTCGTTAATATTGATGAATTCAGCAAGCTAGAATTGAGTTAGGCATATGTCAAATACTATACAAAATAAATTTAGAAAGTCATTAATTGTGGAGTGAGTTAGTGTATTGTGGTTTCTAAGGTTATCATGGATAGGTTATAGTAGAATGATGACAGGAAGGTAGGTTAGAATAAGAACTAGCGTGTTTTCCTCAATCTCAGTTTACATGTCTAATGTTACGAATGTCATTCTTTGGTGGTATGTTTGTTTCTTCAGTAGACATTGTAGTTTGCCAGTGTTGGAAGAGTAATGATTAGCAAGCATAGGGCACAAAGAAATCATTAAACTTACAAGCAAATGTAGTAAGGTCTATCATTTGGAATTTTATAAAATTCTGCTAAGTGTCTATTTTGTTTATATATTTCTTTGGAATTTGCTTAGAGACCAGTCATGTTTTATATACAGTAGTCTTCTTCCATAGGAAGTTATTTGCAGAAGAACCAGTGATGGGTTAGAAGAAGCCTTTATGGAGGCAGTAATGGGAATGAGGTAATCATTATGATTGTAAAGCTAAATTGATGGAAGTACTGGTTATATTACAGATTATTGTCTCCCTACATTTAATTATTGTTATCCAAGTGGAATTTCTTTAATTCTCTTTTGTCTTCCCTTTCCTTCCTAGATTTCTTTGAAGGATTTTGGTCATTTTCTAGGTATAAGTAAGAATTCTGATTTTTCTTATTTTTTTCTTTTAAAAGTTTGCATTGGTTATTATAGTAAATCGTACTCTCAGAACATTTGGAAAATACTCCCCAAAAAGGAATGAAGATTATTATAAAATCTTATCCTCATAAATAGTTACTACTATTTATTTTTTGGGGGGATGCTGATTTTGTCATCTAGAATTAGACTGTTTCTGTTATTGCTGTTGTTGTGTACCATCGAGTTGGAACTGACCCATAGCTGACCCTCTCTGACTGTTTTTCAGAGGCAGTTAATCACATGGGAGGAGATTGCTCATTCTTCTTCCTTACAGATTAGTTGACTGTATTGATAATTATTGATTTGCTTTTATAGTTAGCTAATTGCTCATTCATAAATCAGAGGGATTTATGTATATTCAAACAACTTATGTTTTTAGGCTAACATTTGTTATGTGCTGTCCAGTCACTTGTGACTCATAGCGACCTCATGTACAGTATACCCACATTACCCCAGTCACAGAATCAGTTTATCTCATCAAGGGTCTTCCTCTACTGTAATCTACTTATTTAATCATTGATAAATGCTAACTTTGATTTTGTATCTAAAGTCTCTTAAGTGTCATTTTAAATTAAATTATTTCAAGTGAGGTGTTTTTAGGTGTAAAAACAAAGATAACTGGGGGATAGAGAAAAAAGTGCAACAATGAATAAATGGAAATCCAAAATCTTTGTAAATGTTCATTAAAATTAATACTTTTTTTTTTAAAAAAAAAGAAAGTAAAGGTACCCATAATCTCATGCAGTCATAGTCGATTCAACCATAGTTCATTTGCCCAGGTGACAGGGATGTTTAGAGGAGACAGTGTAATACAATATATTTGTTATGTTAGATGACAAAGTCTGTCGCAGGATGTCTCAACCATGGCACTATTGTTGTTCATTCTCCCCACCCCAAAGCACACAGTTGTAACCATTCTCTAGGCTTATTCTTTTGAAACATTAAAAGGATCCTTAATTTTTACCATTGTAGCTTTAATTTATCTCAGTCTTCAGGTATGCAGGGAGTTTTATACGCAAGGGCAAGTTTCAGAGAGGCATTTTATTAAGAGACTTAAAAGTATAAAAACTTCATGTTTTGACAACATAGAAATGACCGGAATGGTTCTCTGGAAACAAAGGGTGAAATTGCGGGAGTTTGATTATATAATGTCTGAATATTTTCACTTGGATTTTTTTAGTGTGTGGGGGAAAAAGACTATCTCTTCAGTAGGTAAAAACTGATTATTAGGAGTGTGTGTTAAATCTTTGACAAGAGTGTAGTGAAAAGTATTGGATCAATAAAACTAGAAACTTGGACATAACCAGAAATAGTGGGAAAGAATACAAAATTCTTATTGAATTGAAGGTTTATGTTTGGGACTTTATTTCAGTTACATATCTAGGTCTAGATGATAGAGAAAGGTGAATGAGGAAATAAAGGGCTTTGTACTTATGTTTTCTTCTGTTATACCCAATAATAGTGATTACACAGTTGGGAATAATTCAGTGGGAAGAGGAAGTATTTTTTTCTTTTGCTATAGGGTGGTTTGCAGATTAATGTTTCTTTAGTTTATATATCTCCATTGACATGTGTACATAAAATAGGTGTCAGGACGGGTATAAGCAGATTCATAGAGAACTGGTGTTGGCAGCTGCTGCTTTCATTACTGTGTTGTTACTGACATGAGATTTTAAGGTCATTTACTTTGCATTGCTGGGGATAATTTATGTACTTTTAATTCTTGCTCATGATTTATCTGTAACTTTGGTGAGAATGAAATAGAGGAAAAAAGCAGTCACATTAAAGGAGCTTCTCTTGTAGACTTAAGCATTTAAAGCCAAATACTTACTGCAACTATTTACAAGAAAGAATTGAAGTTGTTAGTAAAGAAACAGAAGGCTTATGCTATTAGAATAATTTTCTCTTGCATAAGAATAACTAGCGGATGCATATGGGTAGAGAATTTAAGACATTGTAATTCTTGAATTTAAGTAAATTCTGTAGACAATCTTTCATCAGGTTCCTTTTATTTAAAGGGCTATACAACATAATACTATATTCATTTGACTCATCAGTTTGGTGTGTTTTGTCAAAATAGTTGTCTCAGGTATCAGGCTATAATAGAATAGTGCCTTGTAGGTTCTGCTTTATGTTTTAGAGGGTAAATATATTTGGTAAAGTGGTGAAACCTTAATTTGTTAATAGATTTTGCTTTTGTAATAAATATGCATATATTCTAAGATAAGCACTTACAATATTGTAAATAATTTTAAAATATGGTATACTATTTTTTCTCTCCCCTTTTAGTATAATAATCATGAAATTCGTTCAGGAAAACACATTGGTGTCTGCATCTCTGTTGCCAACAATAGGCTTTTTGTAGGCTCTATTCCTAAGAGTAAAACCAAGGAACAGATTCTTGAAGAATTTAGCAAAGTAACAGGTAAGTTTGATTTATTTGGAAATGAGTATAACTTAAAAGAATGAAGGTAATGAGCTTTTATGTGTCAAACGGTGTTCTCTAAACATTGCATTTATTAACTGAATCCTTTTGAGGTAAGTAACTATTTAGCAGATAAATAATGAACAGGGAAAGAGGAGAAATAACATACTGAGGTTTATGCAAAGTCATGCCACTCAAGTGGATTCTTAACTTTTGGTCTGATTTTCTCAGTTTTAAAAGATTGTAATTTTTTTGTGTGTATGTTTGCTGACAATCTTGTGTGTATGTGTGTGTGTGTGTGAGTGAACGTTTACAGAGATTTTGGATTTCCATTCATTGTTGCATTTTTTCCTCCTGCCCACCCTCCCTCCCAATTTGCTCTTCTCTTTGAAAAGTAAAAGAAAAATTATTTCATTGTTATACAATTCCTCCCCTCAAGTCCACTCTACTATGCAGCCTTCATTCTGGACTCTTGTCATGATAATAATAATAATCATCATATATAGCTTTTTAACAATTCTCTACCTCATCTGTTTCAATACAGATATTTCACTCAGCATAATGTCGTCTAGAGTCATCCATTTTATATATTTCATGAGTTCTTTGTTTTTCAGTGCACCATAGTATTCCATTGTGTGTACCAGAGCCTCAGTATCCATTCATTTGTTGATGGACACTTAGGTTTTCCTAAGTAGCTCTTTGCTGTTGTGAATGAAGCCGCAATAAATATGGGTGTGCATATATCTGCTTGGGTGGTGGTTATGGTTTCTTTGGGGTATATTCCCAGTAGTGGAATTGCTGGGTCAAATGGTATTTCTGTTTGCAACTTTTTGAGAAAGCGCCACACTGCTTTCCACAGTGGTTGCACCATGCTCACGTTCTTAATAGGATTACTTGATGTGTAATCATTTGTATTTTTACTGAATTAGAATACTAATAAAATTCTGTTGGTATATGCACAGACCTTTCATTTTAAATATGAATTATGTATTTGATCTACAAAAAGCTTTTAGAACTGATTTCCTAAATAACTACTTATATTGAAAAATAGTTTTTGTCTACATAGACTGCTTTAATTTTTTTTTAAACAACCTTGGTATTACTCTTAAAAATTTTGTGTAATAAAATTTTAAGTGGTGTATTTTATCTATAGTGCCATTTTTATAAAACAATCATAAAAATTTTTACCTTCATCTCCGTAATTTAATAAATGGAGGCCAAATAGACCTTAGGTCTTAGTAGATTGAAGGTTTTTCTTTCCGTGAGGCCCTTAGGTTGGAAAGCTTGACTGTGATGGTGGTGGTAGTTAGATGCCATTGAGTCGACTAGACTTCCTGACTTACTGAACAACAAATCTGAACTCTGCCCATCCTGCACCAATTCCATTATTCCTGATAGACTGGAGCCTACTCAAACAGTAGCTTTCCCAATCTACCTTGATTGTGATACTCCTAACAGAGTGAAGAAAGAGTAGCTTAGCACCTCTGTTTGAAAGACCATTGTAAAGGTGGACATTGAAGAAAGGATAATATTTCTGTTTTGATACTGAAATATATTAGCAAAAGAAATCTTTCTGTGTACTTATTCTTGCTCTTATTTTATCTAATTTCCTTGCATGGTTGCATCATTTCAGAGGGCCTTACAGACGTCATTTTATACCACCAACCAGATGACAAGAAAAAAAACAGAGGCTTTTGCTTTCTTGAATATGAAGATCACAAAACTGCTGCTCAGGCAAGGCGTAGGTTAATGAGCGGTAAAGTCAAAGTCTGGGGGAATGTTGGAACTGTTGAATGGGCCGATCCCATAGAAGATCCAGATCCTGAAGTTATGGCAAAGGTAAGGTAATTAAAAATTGAGAGTAAGGGAAAGTTTAAAATGAAGAGAGAAAGGCTGGGGGGTGGGGGTGGGGGTTTAATAAGCCATAAAGCATGGTGAGAGAAGTATTCTTTAATTATAAATTAGGGCCTGAAGCCAGAAATCCATATATTTGAGAAGTAAATCTAGGAATTTACTCAATATTACTAAGCCATAATTGTGAGCATTTTCATGATTAAATAGCCTGTATGCTGTAAGATGATTCAATTTAGATTTTATGTTGATTTTAAGAGTAATTGTTTTGCATTTTTAAAGAATGGTGCCATTAGCTAATGTGATATATATCTTATTTTTTACATTGAAAGTTTTACTCTAAAAATAGTGAACTGCACTGGCCCAAGCTGAGCTGCTGCAGTTAAAAAGTTTAGCTATTATTAGGCATCTGCTTCAGCAGTCTGTTTAAACACCCTGTGCGGAACAAGCATGTCTTGAGTCAACACTTTACTCTTGCTAGTGCAGTTTGCAGTTGTTAGTCTATTGTTTGTCATTCATTTTAAGCGTCCCTTTAGTGGTTTCTAGGGAAGAACTAGTTAAATAAATGGAGTTTAAATATGAATAAGGGAACTAGAATTTTTTTGGCCTGTAAAGCTATTTAGTACAGCACTTTAGTTAATTTCAGTTACTATTTCAAGTATTTAAGGGGATTTTTGATAGTGTATAGTGTTTTTCTTTTTTGGTGGTCAACAGGTAGTTTTATGACTTACTAAAAAATTAAGTAAGGAAAATAGACATTTACCACATTGAATAGCTGGTTTTTCATCTTTCCCCAGTAGTGTTTCTTAACTTAAAGGTGATTGTATAAATACTGTATAGGGTTACGGTTACTACTGTATGTATAAATACTGTGATTGTATTTTGAGGAGATTGAAAGATTTTATTTTACCAATATCTTGCTTTTCTCTTTTCCCATTAACATTTTAGACTTGATGAGAGTATGAAAATTCAATCTGTCTCAGAGGATAGAGTATTCACATTGTTGGGAAACCGCTATCCCCAATTTTATTGCAGTACTGTCACTAATAAAAATAACCAAGCAATATGTTTTGGTAGTGTTTGCTGAGTCAATTCCAATTCATGATAACTATTTCATAGTGTGGAATAGGACTGTCTAATAAGGTTTTCTAGGCTGTGATCTTTATGAAAGCAGATACTGCCACAACTTTTTCCCCATGGAGCTACTGGATGGGTTAGAATCTCTGAACCTTTTCTGTTTGCATCCCAGTTCTTAACCGTTAGGCCACAGGGATTCTTTTTAGTCTTATATGCTATTATGATGGGTTGTGTTTTAAGTTCACTCGCCCATGTGAGTAGATCTGACATCATGGAAAAGAATCTGATGGGACATACACAGTAATTTCTGCTTTTTCATTTCAGGTAAAAGTTTTGTTTGTACGTAACCTTGCAAATACCGTAACAGAAGAAATTTTAGAAAAAGCATTTAGTCAGTTTGGGAAACTGGAACGAGTGAAGAAACTAAAAGATTATGCGTTCATTCATTTTGATGAAAGAGATGGTGCTGTCAAGGTAAATAAATGGGAAATTATCATAGGCATTTAGATCAGAGTAACTATGCCTTGCTAGAATTAGAACATTTCAAAAATTTATTGTTACACAGAGATTATGCCATCCTGTGAAGCCAGCCTTTCTTTATAAACCAGTTGCTTTTGAGTTAGATTTGACTCCAGGTGACCACAGTGTAAAAGTGGAACTTTGAAAGGCTTTTACAGTTTAACAATATTTTTAGGCTTTTCATTGGCTAACATCAGGAGACGACCAAGCTTTTTAAGACATCTCTTGGTGGGCTCACATCTCTTAAGTGGGCCTAGCAACTGAATGATTTAACTATTTGCACCTTTGAAACCTATATAGGCTTTAGATTTAGTAAGTTAATATGACTTAGAAGTCAAAACAGCGGAAAGAGCCAAAGCTTTTATTATAATTGAGCACACAGTTAATCTTGCTGACCATATGAAGCTCTTTTTGTCTTACCAACATTAATGAGAAATTTCCAACTTAAATTAGCTCTTTGAAATGTATGCTTATTGTATTGATCAATACCTCATATTTTAAAAGGCTATGGAAGAAATGAATGGCAAAGATTTGGAGGGGGAAAATATTGAGATTGTTTTTGCTAAACCACCTGATCAGAAAAGGAAAGAAAGAAAAGCTCAGAGGCAAGCAGCAAAGAATCAAATGTAAGTGAAATTTGTATACATTTTATGTTCGTGTATATGTAACAGTTAAACAAAATCAAAGATCTTGAAATATTTATCAAATATTTGTAAAAAATAGTCCTAATTATAAATATCTTGAATTTTGTTTAAATAAGTAAAAATCATTCTATTCTGTTTTATAGAAAGTAATTTGAAAGTTTGTTTTGGATATTAGCTTTTGAGAATCTTAGCTATGTTAAAGCTTAGAAGAATATGTTTTCAGAGTTAGAGAATATTTAACTTAAAATATGATGAATTCTGCTATCTTGGCAAGGAAAGAAAAAGCTGTCTTTATTTTGTCACCTGTTGCCAGTACAAACATTTCATACACTAACCCAGTTGCTCCATGGGAGAAAGATGGGCGGTTTGTTCCAATGCTGTTAACTGCCTCTGAAAACCAGCTATGGATAGATTTCACCTTGCCAGCACGCAACCACAACCACCACCTTGAGTTAAGGAGCCTGGTGGCATTTGGATAATGTAGTGCGCTAGGTGAAAAGCTGGTAGTTTGGGAGAAAAAAAAATGAGTTCATTTTTTTTCTGTAAAGATTTATTGCCTTATAAATGGAGGATTCCTATGAGGCAAAGGTGATTTAGCGGCAGTGGGTTTGAGATTTTGGAGGCATGAATTTTGAAAGAATAAGTTGTAATTGATAAACTGTGCAAGAAGTAGTGTTGTATTTCAATAAGGAAATTAGGTTTGGAACGAATTAATTGGAGGCATTTTTTTAAAACATCTCTAAAAGGAATGCACATTAATGCAGTGAAGAAAACTTTGTTGGTTAGAATTAAGATACAGTGCTAAAAAATTAGGCTTGAAATGGATTTCTGAAGGAGGGGAATGAATTTTCATTAATTTGGTTTAAGAACTAATTGATCATAGTTATATCTATAGTCACTGTTTGGGATACAAAAGAAGGGTGGGTGGTATCTGCATATCAGGGAAGTGATTGTTTGCATTTACACTTAGGTTGGATGACAAGTTCTGAGCCTCAGGCCTTCCATTCTAAAATGGGATTAAACTAAAGTATGTAAGATCTCTTATACTATGATTACATGAGTGACCCATAATTTTTCTGACACCAGAAATGTTTATATAGAAATGGATACTGAATAAGCTAGTTTTTGAGGGAGGGAACTGTTGCTCTATGTCAAAGCTTTCTGAATTTACTGTATGTGAAAATTGATTGATGTGAATCATGAAGATTTCTACTTTAGAAAATTGTTGCATTTTATTAATAAGTGAGTAAAGACCAAGAATAGGAGATTGATACATATAATAATTCAATTATAATTTCATGAGTCTGTAGGTGAAAGTGATGCTCCATATACTTGAAAAGAGAAGCCATTGATGTGTGATGCTTTGCCTCAACTTGTAGTGTTATTCACTACTTTTTATTAATTCTTTTAATTTAACGTACATGGCATGCTTTAAACTTAATTTTTGTGACATCTTTATAAATTAAGTGTGCCCCAGTTTGAGATGAGGCACAGACATCAATCTACTCTAAGGTCAGTAATATGGCAAATTGTGAAGATGGATTTGGAGCAGAGGGTTCTGACTCCTTAATTTTCACTCTTAAGCATTAGACAAATTTCTCAATCTCTGTTCTATTGATACTTTGGGTGAGATAGTTTGTGATTGTAAGAGCTATCCTATACAGGACAGTGTTTATTTTCTATATGTCTGCTAGATGCTACTAGGGGGAATCTTAAACCCTCTTAGTTCTAACAGGTATCTCCAGGCATTGTTTTGTGCTGTTAAGACCCTTTAGAGGCCAAAAAAGATAATCAATTAAAATAGTGAAATAATTGGAGGAAAGAAAAAAAAATCTTGGGGAACTAAAGTAGCATTTAATGTGAAAGAAAAAGGAAAAATTGGGCCTTTATTAATTAAGCATTAAAAAAACTCAAGTTCAATCAATTCTGAGTCATAGTGACCTTCCATTGAGAGACTTCTACTTCGTAGGCTTTCAGTCTTGAGGTAAATGGCCTACGTTTTTCT